CAAAGGGGTGACCATGACACTCAGAGGCTTGCGCCTCGAATTAGTCACCCAGACGCCGAGGAGGGCGAATAACGCCTCGAGTAGGACAGATGTGGTGACAGGAGTCGAGTGAAATAGGTGGACTAGGGGTAGAGCAGACGGATTTTACGGAGCAAGAGAGATATTTGGATAAGACTAGGAAAGAGGATGGCATAATAATTAAGCAGACTCTGATTAACATTCGCTGCACAAGGATTAAGGGAGGGGGTGATAACGAAAGTTGGAGTGTGAAAGTGTCATGTCGCTCAAAGGAGCACACGAAACAATATCTGAATAAACACGGTAAAAAGTATAATAGTGAAGGCATGATAGGATGATACCGGAAATGCGAATGACCCAGGGCAGAAGAGGATATACCACAAATGTTTAGCACACGTTTGGTCAAAGGATCGGTTTCACTTGTCCCTTTGACGAGTTGTTGTGTGGTGCTAAGAATGGCGATACTCACTGACGAGGCTGATTACGATTCCGGAGAAATGTTTGGGAATGTACCTCGTCCACGGTTCAACTTTGGAAGTGATCATGCAGACAATGGACCCCGTGACTAGGTGCGTTCCAATTAGTCTTCCTACCAATATGACCATGTTGCGAAAACAAGGTCAAACAACCTCTCTACTCATATGATTGTTCGAAAATTCTTCTTCTTGACCAGCTGTCGATTGGCTTTACTGGAACATTCTTGTTGACGCTGTTTTCGAGACGCTCTCCTTTGATTCCGGTGAAAACGTGCTAAGCATCATCTCTACAACCATATTCAAGCTAATGAGTCAAGAAAACACACCGGTTCATCCCTAAAAAGCTATATAAATACACTCTATATTTGACCTATTTGATGAGGTATAAATTGATTTGGTTAGTTCAAACCGACGTCTATTCTCGTTACTTTTGTTGTCCTAATCACTTTGAGCAATCACTACTGGTTTCACGCATAGACGAACACATACAGGCACATACACATACAGAGACGGACATACTCACATTCTCCGAGGTTGACATATGACTGGAGCTAACATGATCACTTTATACCTCATCAAAGAGGTCATAAATATAATATCACTTTATGAGAAATAGGGTGAACACATCTCAGATACAAATTAGTCAAAGTTATCTTTTTTGTCAAGTTATTTGGAGCAACCCCAAACGATAATCCAACATAAATCCCCATTAACATTGAAAAAGGAAACAATATTTGGATTTAGCTTTTGCTTAGGTGTTTTGCCAGAAAACAAAAAACAGTTGAATCAGAAATAGTATATCTTTGAGACTCTCTTACTTTGGAGAGAAGCTTCTGATTTGGTTTGATCAAAAGGTCGATGTACAACAAGACTGTCCTTCTGTGATCGGACAACCTGATTAGGAGAGGCGTCGGTTGCAAGTGGAAATGAGA